CTGCTGAAGTGTTCAGTTTTGGCGATAGTTCTGGTATTTTTAAAGTCGATCTCATGTCCTGTGGCTTTGAGGTGTTGGACCAGGGAAGAGGTTGGTTCTTCTTTTTTGATTGAGTTCTTATGTTCTTCAACGCGTGCACTTATTCTTCTGTTAGTTTGTCCAATGTATGTGGTGAGGCAGGCAGTGCAAGGGATTTCATATACTCCTTGGTTTTCTAACTCGATTTTGTCTTTAGGGTTTCTTAGGATGGTGGATATTTTTCTGTTTGTGCAGAATGCTGTTTTAATGTTGTGTTTTTGGAGGATCTTGCTGATTTTGTCTGTAGTGCCTTTTATATATGGGAGGAGGGCTTTGCCGTTCTCTTGTTCTCTGTCTTGGATTTTGGTTGGGGTTTCTTTTTGGATTAGGTGGGTGATCTTCTTTCTTTGAAATCCATTGGCTGTTAGTACGTTGGTGAGAGTGTTTAGTTCGGTTTTTAGGTGTTGTTCATCAGCTAAGCATTTTGTTCTGGAGATGAGTGTCTCAGCTACGGAATTGATCTGTGCTGGGTGGTGGTGTGAGAGTGCGTGTAGATAGCGGTTTGTATGTGTCTTCTTTTGGTAGATGGTGTGTCCTAGGGAGCCATTGGGTTTTTTGTATACCAAGACATCTAGGAAGGGAAGTTGATTGTTAGCTTCTGTTTCCATGGTGAATTGTATTTTGGGGTGTAGGCTGTTGAGGTGTGTGAGGAAGTTGTTCAGTTTTTCTTTCCCGTGTGGCCAGATTATGAAGGTGTCATCTACGTATCTGAGCCAGAGTTTGGGTTTGTGATCATATTTTTCTAGAGCTTGTGTTTCAAAGTGTTCCATGTAGAGGTTTGCGATGACAGGTGAGAGGGGTGATCCCATGGGTGCTCCTTCTATTTGTTTGTATTTTTGTCCGTTGTAGGTGAAGTATGTATTGGATAGACAGTGATTGGTCAGATCTAGGATGTGCTGGGGGGGGTTGTATTTGTTTTGGATGGCTGTCAAGGCTTCTTTTATTGGCACTTGGGTGAAGAGGGATATGACATCGAAGCTCACTAGTAGGTCGCTGGGTTGTAAGTTTTGTTTCTTTATGATCTCGATGAACTGGAATGAGTTTCTTACATGTGAGTTGATGGATTCTGCATAGGGCTGTAGTTGTTTGGCGAGAAATTTGGCTAGGTTTTGTAGAGGTGAGCCTATGGAGCTGACTATTGGTCTAAGTGGAGTTCCTTCTTTGTGTATCTTGGGGAGACCATAAAGCTTAGGGCATCTGGAAGATTTCTCTCTGGGTATGATTCTTTGCTGGATTTCTTCACTGATGGGGGAGGCTTTTATTTTGGATCTGGTGGTTTTTTCTAGGTAGGTGGTGGGGTCTGTCTTTAGGGGTTTGTATGTGGGGTCTAGGAGTAGGTTGGTTAACTTGGTTTGGTAGTCAGATGTGTCCATAACCACTGTCGCGTTGCCCTTGTCTGCTGGTAGGATTATTATGCTGGTGTCTTCTTTCAGGTTACGTAGTGCAGTTTGTTCTTCTTTGGATAAGTTGCTTTTGGGTGGTTTGCTAGTGCAGAGGATGTTGGTGATTTCGAGTCTGATTCTATTAGCATCATCAGGGTTGGTTTTGGTCAGGCTGGTTTCAACTCCGCATATGATGGTTTCTGTGGGGATGTGTTTGGGAGCAACAGCAAAGTTGAATCCTTTTGAAAGGACCTTGGTTTCGGCTTCGGTGAGGATCTTGTCTGAGATGTTGTGCACTGTTTGTTTCATGTGTGGCTGTGAGGGGAGAGGAGTTGGTTTCTGGCATTGTTGTAGTTTTCTGAGTTTGTTGGTGTGTGTGTCTGTCTTGAGGGTGGTCTGTGTTTCGGCTCTCCAGACAGCGAGTTGTTTGGATTTGTCCCAAAGTAAGGGGTGAATCTTGTTGCTGAGTCTGAGGTGAAGTGTGAGAAGATCTTTGTTGATTTGGTCTAGGAGAAATCTTTTTGTGTGAAGTTCATTTCTAATTAGGGCCAATTCTGTTCTTTTTAGGATGCGTTTGGTGGCTGCTGTGTTGGTGTGGAATTTCAATTGGAAGCTTGTGGGAATTAAATTTTGATCTCGGCAGTTGCATAGGAATGCGAGGTCACATAAAATGGAAGCTCTTTGGACTTCAAGTTTTTCATAAGTCCTGGTCAGATGGTGGGTTTCCTCCCCATAGAGGTGCAATATTTGTTTTCTGAGGTTCTCGCGGGTATTTGTATGTGGATCTTTGGTTATTCGGGTTTTCTCCCGCGTAAGATTCAAAGTATCTAGGCAACGTTTCGATGAAGTCTCATTCATCATCTTCAGGCTTGCTTCTTCGGCTCTGTGCTTCTCAGAGTGATGTGAGCTTTCAGCTGCTTCTTCCTTCTAACTGCCAGTGGGGGTGTGACTTGACTGGGTGGGGGCTTGGCTGCGTTCCGATTGGGTGGGGGTGTGTTCTCATTGGTTGGAGGCTTGGCTGTGTTCTGATTGGTTGGAGGGCTGGCCGTGTTCTGATTGGCTGGAGGCGTGCTCTGTTCAGATGGGGGCTTGGCCGTGCTCAGGCTAGTCCCAGCTGCTGGGGGATTTGAGCTGGTGAGCTGGGATCTTGCTGTTTGGCTTTGAGTTCGTGGTCGTGCCACATCTTCATGGTGGGGGTCAGTTCGCTTCATGTATGGCTCAGATGGGTTTGAAGTGGGTAGTGATGCAGCTGCAGTGCGGCTTCTGGTCTGTGGTCGTGTCTCATCTTCTGTGTGGGTGTGAGTCTGATTTTTACGTGGAAGTGTGGTGGTGGCATCTTGTGTGGCCCTCGTGGGTGTGGGTCTGGTGTCATTCATCATGTTGGGTACTCGTCTGTTCATGAGGGCGGGTTTCCAAATGGCTGGTAAGCGGGAGGTGTCATCTCTTTTATTCATGCTGTGTGGGCGTTTTTCTATCTCTATCGCTTCTCTGATTATTCTGCTGCTGAAGTGTTCAGTTTTGGCGATAGTTCTGGTATTTTTAAAGTCAATCTCATGTCCTGTGGCTTTGAGGTGTTGGACCAGGGAAGAGGTCGGTTCTTCTTTTTTGATTGAGTTCTTATGTTCTTTAATGCGTGCACTTATTCTTCTGTTAGTTTGTCCAATGTATGTGGTGGGGCAAGCGGTGCAAGGGATTTCGTATACTCCTTGGTTTTCTAACTCTAACACAGCCAAACCCCCAACCAATGAGAACACACCCCCACCCAATCAGAACACAGCCAAGCCCCCACCCAATCAAGTCACACCCCCACTAGCAGTTAAAAGGAAGAAGCAGCTGCAAGCTCACATTACTCTGAGAAGCACAGAGCTGAAGACACAAGCCTGAAGATGATGAATGAGACTTCATCGAAATGTTGCCTAGATACTTCCAATCTTACGCGGGAGAAAACCCGAATAACCAAAGACCCACATACAAATACCCGCGAGAACCTCAGAAATATATATATGTTTTCTGAGGTTCTCGCGGGTATTTGTATGTGGATCTTTGGTTATTCGGGTTTTCTCCCGCGTAAGATTGGAAGTATCTA